CATGCATGGGTCAAAGGGGATTCCCAGATATTTTACTGATGAAACCAAAGTGATGGTCTCCCCATTACACTGAACATTAAAATTATTTACCCTTCTCAGTTTATGTTTCGTGCCAAAGAGAATGGCTTCAGTTTTCCCTAGGTGTAATGATAGTTTGTTGTCTACTAACCATTTGCTGCAGGACTCCAGTTTCAGTGTTAAAACATTAGTAATATCTTGTGGGTCTTTACCTGTCACTAACAGAGCACTGTCATCTGCATACAGTAGGAGTTTGCACTTGACACTGATAGGCATATCATTGACATAACATAAGAATAATAAGGGACCCAGAATACTACCTTGGGGAACTCCACATGTTATCGGCAGGGGTTCTGATTCCGTTTTGTTGATTTTGACAATTTGTCTCCTGTTGCTAAGGTAGGACTTAAACCAGTCTACAGAACCTATACCGATAGCTTGAAGTTTCTTACATAATATATTGTGGTTGACAGTATCGAAGGCCTTTTGCAGGTCTAAGGTTACCATACCTATGAGGTTCCCCTTTGACATTTCAGTTCTCAGGTAATCCATCAGATTAATAAGGGAGGTGTCGGTTGAGTAGGATCTTCTAAAGCCCGATTGATAGCTATGGAGAATGCTGTTGTCATTAAGGTACTTAACTACTTGAGAATACACCGCCTTCTCCAGAATTTTAGATATTATACTGAGTATACTAACAGGCCTATAGTTGCTTTAATCCTAGAATTTGCTTATACCTTTTGTATAGCCCGTTATTTTGCTACTGAAAACAGATATTGAAATCGCCCAGTATTATTGTCTCGCAATTGTCTATTTAATCCTAGAATTTGCTTATACCTTTTGCATAGCCCGTTATTTTGCTGCTGAAAACAGATATTGAAGTTGCCCAGTATTATTGTCTCGCAATTGTTTTCAACTCCAGACAAGACTCTGGAAAAGTCTTAGTGTTAGAAACTGTCAGTCCTCCTGGAAGTTGTAAGTTTATTTAGGTACAGGTACTCATAAGTACCTGTTCACCTATCAGTAAAATAGGTACCTGGGTGTTAGTCAACTGGTGTGATTTGCTAATTTGCCCGAAGTGCTCTGCATAAGGGGCTTTATATGGTAGCATGTCACTGATGTCAGCTAGGCCTGTATATGTACATTGTACATGCACTTGTAGAAATAGATTTTTTTTATTTAGGATAACCTAGAAAAGTCGGACAAAATACCAAGTGTAAGAAAGCTCCAGACCTGGAAGTATTAGTGTTGTGTAAAATTAGATAGTACAGCTTTATATCCATTGATGTTAATGTCATATACAGTGGACCCTCGGGTAATGCCGTTAATCCATTCGAGAGAGCTAGCCTTTAACCGATTTAGCCTTTAGCCAAATTAATTTTCCCCATAAATAATGGAAATCCAGTTAATCCGTTCCAGACACCCAAAAGAATTAAACAAAATTTTTTTTACATGAAATATACGTTTCCCTACACAGAAAACAATGATAAATGCACAATAAACAATACTGAAATGACACCTTTATTGTGGACTTGTTGACGAGTGATGAGATGGGAGGAGGGGAGAGGATGAAGGTATTCTATTGTTTGGAAGGGGAATCCCCTTCCATGCCTTATCACACTGTGTATGCCACTACGATTCTTAAATCTCTCAAACCAGCCTTTGCTGGCCTTAAATTCATCAGTAGCAGCACTTTTTGGAGGCATTTTCTTAACGAGTTCATCATGCAACTGCCTTGCCTTTTCACATACAGTGGACCCTCGCCTAATGTTATTAATCCATTCCTGAGAGCTCAACGTTAGGCGAAATTATCGTTAGGTGAATTAATTTTCCCCATAAGAAATAATGGAAATCAAATTAATCCGTTCCTGACACCCCAAAGTATGAACAAACAAAAAATTTTTACCACATGAAATATTAATTTTAATACACACAAACTGAAGACATGCACAGTTACATGACACTTACCTTTATTGAAGATCTGGTGATGACTGATGGGATGGGAGGAGGGGAGACTGGATGGTGTTAATGTTTAGAAGGGGAATCCCCTTCCATTAGGACTTGAGGTGGCAAGTCCTTTTCCGGGTTATTTCCCCTTCTTCTTTTAATTTGCCACTAGGACCAGCTTGAGAGTCACTGGACCTCTGTCGCACAACATATCTGTCCATAGAGGCCTGTACCTCTCGTTCCTTTATGACATTCCTAAAGTGTTTCACAACATTGTCAGTGTAATAGTCACCAGCACGGCTTGCAATAGCTGTGCGAGGGTGATTTTCATCAAAAAAGGTTTGCACTTTAAGCCACATTGCACACATTTCCTTAATCTTTGAAGTAGGCAACTTCCTCAATTTCTCTATCCCCTCCTCCGAAGCAGTTTCCTCAGGTGTGGCCTCTTGCTGTTGAAGATGATCTAGCAGCTCATCAGTGGTTAGTTCTCATTGTCCTCCTCCACCAACTCTTCCCAATCACTCCCCACTAACCTCCAACCCCAAGGACTTCCCCAATGCCACAATGGATCCTCAACTGGCATAGGATTCCAGGGTTAGCCTCAAACCCTTCAAAATCCCTTTTGTTACACTTTTCTGGCCACAGTTTCTTCCAAGCAGAGTTAAAGGGGTCCTCTTATCATTTCCCTTCCAAGCCTTACCTATAATGTTTACAAAATTGAGGATGTTTAAAGTGATCTCTCCAAAACTCTCTTAGAGTCAATCAAGTTTCTGAGGTCACTACAAAGCACCTTTCAAACATAGCTTTTGTGTACAGTTTCTTGAAGTTGGAAATGACCCGCTGGTCCATGGGGTGCAGGAGAGGAGTGGTATTAGGAGGCAAAAACTTGACCTTAATGAAGCTCATTTCCGCAGAAAGTCGCTCTGCCACGTCTGAAGGATGACCAGGAGCATTGTCTAATACCCGGAGGCAACTTAAGGTCTAATTTCTTTCATTAGGGAATTTTTCACAGTGGGGGCAAATGCAAAGTGTAACCATCAAAAAAAAGTCCCTAGTGACCCATGCCTTACTGTTTTTCCCCTCACAGCACACACAAATTAGCCTTGAGGACATTGTTTTTCCTGAACACTCTGGAAGTTTCAGTGATACACCAATAAAGGCTTCACTTTCCAATCATCACTAGCATTGGCACACATCAACAGAGTAAGCCTGTCTTTCATAGGCTTATGTCCTGGGAGTGCCTTTTCCTCCTGAGTAATGTAGGTCCTGCTTGGCATTTTCTTCCAAAAAAAGGCCCGTTTCGTCACAATTAAACACTTGTTCAGGTTTCAGTCCTTCACTGTCTATGTACTCCTTGAATTCCTGCACATATTTTTCAGCCGCTTTGTGGTCCGAACTGGCAGCCTCACCATGCCTTATCACCAACTAGTATGCCACTGCGATTCTTAAATCTCTCAAACCAACCTTTGTGGCTTAAATTCACTCACATCATCACTAGTTGCAGGCATTTTTCTAATTAAATCGTCATGCAACTTCCTAGCCTTTTCACATATGATCGCTTGAGAGATGCTATCTCCTGCTATCTGTTTTTCATTTATCCACACCAATAACAGTCTCTCAACATCATCTATCACTTGCGATCTCTGTTTCGAAAACAAAGTTGCACCTTTGGCAAGAACAGCTTCCTTGATTGCCGTTTTCTTGGCCACAATAGTAGCGATGGTTGATTGGGGTTTTGTGTACAACCTGGCCAGCTTGGAGACACGCACTCCACTTTCATACTTAGCAATGATCTCTTTCTTCATATCCATAGTAATTCTCACTCTTTATGCTGTAGGGTTGGCACTAGAAGCTTTCTTGGGGCCCGTGGTGACTTATTTTGCAGGTGCAATCACTAAAAAGGCTGTGATAATATGAAATGTTCCGATTGTATGCTTGGAAGCGGCCGTGGTGGCTGGCTTGTAAACACTGGCACCCACGGAACAAGTGAGGCGGGCTCAGGCCGCACGTGGACGCATCTCGAATGAATCGCGTTGAGCGAGTTTTTTAGCGCTAGCCGAGGCAAAATTTTTGCGTTAAAATGTATCGCTAGGTGGATTTAACATTATGTGATGCGTTCGTTAGGCAAGGGTCCACTGTATTATTGACTGAGAAACACTATCTCCTGATAATTGTTTCTTGTTTATCCACACCAACAACACACTTTCCACATCTTCAAGTATTTTCAATCTGTTTTGTAAGCATACTTGCATCTTTCGCAACAACAGCTTCCTTGATTGCCTTTTTGTTGGCCAAGACAGTAGTGATGATTGAATGGGGTTTGTTATATAACCTTTCCAACTCTGAGATATGCACTCCACTCTCGTACTTTGCGATTATCTCTTTAATTCAATAGTATTTCTCACCCTTTTTACCATAGGGTTGGCACTAGAAGCTTTCTTGGGGCCCATGGTAGCTTATTTAGCAGTTACAAGCACTAAAAACAATGGAATAATACAAATTATATCACATGTATGCGTAGAATTGTCCTCGCTGGCAGCTTGTAAACAATGGCACACTGGCTGTACGTGGAGTCATGGAGTGGCCGGGCCTGCTGAGGCCGCGTGGACATATTCGGGACAAAAGCCCTTAACAGAGTTATTTTGCGTTAGCCGAGCCAATATTTTTACACCAGAGTGAACCGTTGTCCAGTTTTGGCGCGAACAGATGACGCCTTTACCTGAGGGTCCACTGTACTATTTGTACAATCACAACAATGTGTTAGGATTAACAAAGTTGCCACATTGCCTTTGCAAATAAAAGCAACATCAAAACACACATGATCTAAAATTAATTGTTGGTGAGACCTTTGAATATCACTAATTAGAATTAGCATGTGTATTAAATATGATAATTTAAAGATCTGTTATTTCATTTGCAGTAAATATGGTACATATTTGGTGTGATTTTAAAATCATTACAATTTGAAGACTACAATTTGTGCTACATTTATATTTTTGAAGACAGAGATAATAATGTTAATGTTTTTTCCTCAGCACCCAGAATATAGTGAAGATGAGCTGAACAAGCTCTTCCAGCTCTTCTGCCGCTATGCCGAACCCAAAATGAAAAAGGGCCACATCTCCCTTGACAGCTTCAAAAAGTTACTGGAGGCATTGGAACTGACACAGACGCATCTTGAAGCAAAGGAGACGTACGATAAGGCTGCTAAGGATGGAAAAATCTCTTTGGATGAGTTCATGAAACTAGTTAAAGATCTGACTGCTAAAACAGGGAAAATCAATTTGGATGTAAGTCTTTATGTTCATACACAGTTTGGATAGTTTCAGGTATTCTGTACTTTAGTTTTATTTACAAGTTCTTGATTGGAGTTATAAGAGGTCCAGAGTTTTGTATTGCAATATTTTGTATCTCATTGACTGGTGTTCTGTTGTACTTATACAGTCCTGTGCATTATATTTTTAATAAAGGTCATTTCCCACCACAGCAGGGTGATCACTAGAATTTTTTTTTGCTAGCACTTATTCCTTGCCTGTATTGACAGTGTATGGACAATATGATCCAAATGACCCAATAAAACCTCCCCAATTATCTGTCAAATTGCAAACCATATACTTTCCTTCTTCCTGGGGAAACAAGTTTCCCCCAGATCCCTTCATAGATATCAACTTGCTCACAATCCAACAGCACATCAAATCCCGAAAACCATTTGGGCCCTCTCCAACCTTAACAGGTTCACACATGCTGCTTGATACTCAAGCCACCTTTCTCTCAAAACCTGTTCAATTAATGCAATTCTTTCCTAGGACATCCCTCTGAACCTTTTGCCATTCGTCCCAGTCATACCCTCTTGATAAACCTGTCATGCTCCATTCTTTCTGTTTAAATCTTTGAAACAAGCCCTCTTCTGCTCTCTGAATTATATCTTTCATATCGCCATATTATTTTTTTCCAAACATTATGTATTTTCTACGTAATACTCGCACCACACATTGCTCTCAAACAGCACTGCAACATTCAGCTTTCTAGGTACAACATTCAAAACCATATCTTGCTCTTGCATAAATGTGTTGACACCTCTATACTCGGATACATTCCCTCTTTTTCCATTGACAAATTCTTTCCTTCCACGGACTTGGGACTCCATGTACAGTGGAATCTCAAATTTCGAATGTATCGCTTATCGAACTCTTCAGAAATCGGCAGCTTTATTCGAACCAACTTTGTCCCTATTATCAAACTCGCCCCTATTTTCGAACCGCCGGATATTGGACCTGTCCGTGTCCCCATGCAGGCGCCTTGAGACAGTCTGGATTTGTTGATGCTTGAGTGAACACTAACCTGCGCTCTCATTCAAACATTTTACGATTAATTCATTGTGTTTAGTGCTTGTGGGACTGTGAAATAAGTTACCATGGGCCCAAAGAAACTTGGTAGTGGTACCCCTGTGGTAAAGAAAGTGAGAAACACCATAGATGTGAAGAAGGACATACAGAAGTATGAGAGTGGCGTGAAACTTGTTGAGCTTGCCAGGATGTATGGGAAAAAAGTTGACCATCACTTCTATCCTGGCAAAGAAAGAACAAATCAAGGAAGCTGATGTTGCAAAAGGTGTTAATATGCTAACCAAAAAAAGACCACAGACAATTGATCAGGTTGAGAAGTTGTTGCTGGTGTGGATCAAGGATAAAGAGATGGCAGGTGACAGTGTTTCAGAGACGATTATTTGTGAAAAGTTCGGTGGCAAAACCATGTCCCATTTTAGGGAAATCTTAAAGAGGGACCAGAAACAGAGGACTGTGGACAGTTATTTTGTGAGACAGGGGTCCAGTGACTCTCAAGCTGGTCCTAGTGGCATTAAAAGACAGAGAAGGGAAGTAACCCCAGAGAGGGCTTTGATACCTAAAGTCCTTATGGAGGGGGATTTCCCTTCCAAACACTAACTCCAACTCCCTCTCTCCTCCTCCCTATCTTCCAGATACCATCACTAGTCTTCAATAAAGGTAAGTGAAAATGTTATTTTATATGTTTATTTAAATTTATTTATACATAATTGTACACTAGATTTATGTGTACAGTATTTTTTTTATTATTATCACACTGGCCGATTCCCACCAAGGCAGGGTGGCCCGAAAAAGAAAAACTTTAACCATCATTCACTTCATCACTGTCTTGCCAGAAGGGTGCTTTACACTACAGTTTTTAAACTGCAACATTAACACCCCTCCTTCAGAGTGCAGGCACTGTACTTCCCATCTCCAGGACTCAAGTGCGGCCTGCCGGTTTCCCTGAACCCCTTCATAAATATTACTTTGCTCACACTCCAACAGCACGTCAAGTATTAAAAACCATTTGTCTCCATTCACTCCTATCAAACACGCTCATGCATGCCTGCTGGAAGTCCAAGCCCCTCACACACAAAACCTCCTTTACCCCCTCCCTCCAACCTTTCCTAGGCCGACCCCTACCCCGCCTTCCTTCCACTACAGACTGATACACTCTTGAAGTCACTCTGTTTCGCTCCATTCTCTCTACATGTCCGAACCACCTCAACAACCCTTCCTCAGCCCTCTGGACAACAGTTTTGGTAATTCCGCACCTCCTCCTAACTTCCAAACTATGAATTCTCTGCATTATATTCACACCACACATTGCCCTCAGACATGACATCTCCACTGCCTCCAGCCTTCTCCTTGCTACAACATTCATCACCCATGCTTCACACCCATATAAGAGCGTTGGTAAAACTATACTCTCATACATTCCCCTCTTTGCCTCCAAGGACAAAGTTCTTTGTCTCCACAGACTCCTAAGTGCACCACTCACCCTTTTCCCCTCATCAATTCTTTGATTCACCTCATCTTTCATAGACCCATCCGCTGACACGTCCACTCCCAAATATCTGAATACATTCACCTCCTCCATACTCTCTCCCTCCAATCTGATATCCAATCTTTCATCACCTAATCTTTTTGTTATCCTCAAAACCTTACTCTTTCCTGTATTCACTTTTAATTTTCTTCTTTTGCACACACTATCAAATTCATCCACCAATCTCTGCAACTTCTCTTCAGAATCTCCCAAGAGCATAGTGTCATCAGCAAAGAGCAACTGTGACAACTCCCACTTTCTGTGTGATTCTTTATCTTTTAACTCCACGCCTCTTGCCAAGACCCTCGCATTTACTTCTCTTACAACCCCATCTATAAATATATTAAACAACCACGGTGACATCACACATCCTTGTCTAAGGCCTACTTTTACTGGGAAATAATTTCCCTCTTTCCTACATACTCTAACTTGAGCCTCACTATCCTCGTAAAAACTCTTCACTGCTTTCAGTAACCTACCTCCTACACCATACACCTGCAACATCTGCCACATTGCCCCCCCTATCCACCCTGTCATACGCCTTTTCCAAATCCATAAATGCCACAAAGACCTCTTTAGCCTTATCTAAATACTGTTCACTTATATGTTTCACTGTAAACACCTGGTCCACACACCCCCTACCTTTCCTAAAGCCTCCTTGTTCATCTGCTATCCTATTCTCCGTCTTACTCTTAATTCTTTCAATAATAACTCTACCATACACTTTACCAGGTATACTCAACAGACTTATCCCCCTATATTTTTTGCACTGTCTTTTGTCCCCTTTGGCTTTATACAAAGGAACTATGCATGCTCTCTGCCAATCCCTAGGTAAACCATACCCCCGGCCGGGATTGAACCCGCCGGGGGTATGGTTTATTTGCAATCGTGTCATTACGATTTCTTAAGTCATGTTGACGGCAGTGAAGGGACTTGAGCTAGAGTTCGTCACGGCCACGCTAGCTGGAGATTCGTCTGTAAAAACTTGCATTTGTGGTCACAGTGGTGCCTGTGCTAACTTTCCTATGGTGTAGAAATATACCTAATTGGATGAATCTTATTGTGGCTAGCTGGTCTAGTGGCTAACGCGACGGGCTGGAGTTTTGAGACTCTATGACCGCGGGTTCAATCCCGGCCGGGGGTATGGTTTATTTGCAATCGTGTCATTACGATTTCTTAAGTCATGTAATCCCTAGGTACCTTACCCTCTTCCATACATTTATTAAATAATTGCACCAACCACTCCAAAACTATATCCCCACCTGCTTTTAACATTTCTATCTTTATCCCATCAATCCCGGCTGCCTTACCCCCTTTCATTTTACCTACTGCCTCACGAACTTCCCCCACACTCACAACTGGCTCTTCCTCACTCCTACAAGATGTTATTCCTCCTTGCCCTATACACGAAATCACAGCTTCCCTATCTTCATCAACATTTAACAATTCCTCAAAATATTCCCTCCATCTTCCCAATACCTCTAACTCTCCATTTAATAACTCTCCTCTCCTATTTTTAACTGACAAATCCATTTGTTCTCTAGGCTTCCTTAACTTGTTAATCTCACTCCAAAACTTTTTGTTATTTTCAACAAAATTTGTTGATAACATCTCACCCACTCTCTCATTTGCTCTCTTTTTACATTGCTTCACCCACTCTCAAAAACCCTCTCTTTTTTCTCCATATACTCTTCCCTCCTTGCATCACTTCTACTTTGTAAAAACTTCTCATATGCTAACTTTTTCTCCCTTACTCTTTCTTTACATCATCATTCCCCCAATCGCTCCTCTTCCTCCCGCACCCACTTTCCGGGTAACCACAAACTTTGCTGAACACTCTAACACTACATTTTTTTAAAACCTACCCCTTACCTCTTCGACCCCATTGCCTATGCTCTCATTTAGCCCATCTATCCTCCAATAGCTGTTTTTATCTTACCCTAACTGCCTCCTCTTTTAGTTTATAAACCTTCACCTCTCTCTTCCCTGATGCTTTTTCTCCTTGTATCCCATCTACCTTTTACTTCGTGTAGCTACAACTAAAAAGTGATCGATATATCTGTGGCCCCTCTATAAACATGTACATCCTGAAGTCTACTCAACAGTCTTTTATTCCCAATACATAATCCAACAAACTACTGTCATTTCGCCCTACTCATATCTTGTATACTTATTTACCCTCTTTTTCTTAAAATATGTTTTACCTATAACAAAAACCCCTTTCTATACGAAGTTCAATCAAAGGGGGCTCCCATTTCATTTACACCTGGCCCCCCCCCAAACTTACCTACCACACCCTCTCTAAAATTTTTTCCTACTTAGCATCAGGTCCCCTCCCACAATTACTCTCTCACTTGGTTCAAAGGCTCCATACATTCATTAACATCTCCCAAAATCTCTCTCTCTCTCCTCTACATTCCTCTCTTTCCAGGTGCTACACGCTTTTTATGACCCACTTTTCGCACCCAACCCTTTTCTTTAATTCCCCATAATTCTTGAATTTACACATTATATTCTCTTTTCTCCTTCCATAACTGATCCTTCAAAAATTACTGCTACCCCTTCCTTTGCTCTAAAATCTCTCAGATACTCCAGATTTAATCCCATTAATTTCCCCCACCGAAAATCCCTACCCCTTCAGCTTTGTTTCGCTTAGGGCCAGGACATCCAACTTCTTTTCAATTCATAACATCAGCAATCATCTGTTTCTTGTTTATCCGCATACATCCACGCACATTCAAGATCCCGTTTTATAAAGTTTTTCTTCTCTTTTTTAGTAAATGTCTACAGGAGAAGGGGTTACTAGCCCATTGCTCCCGGCATTTTAGTCGCCTCATAGACACTCATGGCTTACGGAGGAAAGATTCCCTTTTCCCCCTTCCCCATGGACAATAGAAGAAATAAAGAACAAGAGCTATTTAGAAAAGGAGAAAAACCTAGATGTATGTATATATATATACAGTGGACCCCCGCATAGCGAACTTAATCCGTGCAAGAGGGCTGGTCGTTATGCGAAATGTTCGCTATGCGAATTAATTTTTCCCCATAAGAAATAATGGAAATAAAATTAATCCGTGCAGACACCCAAAAGTATGAAAAAAAAAATTTTTTACCACAAAAAAATGTTAATTTTAGTACACACAAACTGAAAAAGGCATGCACAATTACATGACACTTACTTTTATTGAAGATCTGGTGATGATTTATGGATGATGGAGGAGGGGAGAGAGAGTGTTAGTGTTTAGAAGGGGAATCCCCTTCCATTAACACTTGAGGAGGCAAGTCCTTTTCGCGGGGTTACTTCCCTTCTTCTTTTAATGCCACTAGGACCAGCTTCAGAGTCACTGGACTTCTTTCTGTCCATAGAGCTCTGTACCTCCCGTTCCTTTACGATTTGTCTAAAATGGGCATAACATTGTCATTGAAATAGTCACCAGCACGCCTTGCAACAGCTGTGTCAGGTGATTTTCATCCATAAAGGTTTGCAGTTCAACCCACTGTGCACACATTTCCTTAATTTTTGAAGTAGGCACAATGGATTCCACAACTGCATAGGCTTCTCAGGGTTAGCCCCAAACCCTTCAAAATCTTTCTTAATTTCCATACTAATTCTCACCCTTTTTACCACAGGGTTGGCACTAGAAGCTTTCTTGGGGCCCATGGTCACTTATTTTCAACAAACAGAACCGAAAACACTGTAATAATACGAAATATTCCGAGTGTATGCTTGAATGTTACCGCGGAGGCTAGCTGGTAAACAATGGGACAGGCGGCACATGTGAGGCTGGCTGAGGCCACACATTGGACGCGTCTCGGACGAAGTTCGCTGAGCGGGTTTTTGTCTACTATGCGGGGCAAAATTTTAGCGATCAAAGCGTTCGCTATGCGGAATGTTCGCTATGCAAGGCGTTCGCTATGCGGGGGTCCACTGTATATGCATGTGCGTGTCTGTGAAGTGTGACCAAAGTGTAAGTAGGAGTAGCAAGATATCCCTGTTATCTAGCGTGTTTATGAGACAGAAAAAGAAACCAGCAATCCTACCATCATGCAAAACAGTTACAGGTTTCTGTTTCACAGTCATCTGGCAGGACGGTAGTACTTCCCTGGGTGGTTGCTGTCTACCAGCCTACTACCTATGTGTATGTAAAAGTATAATTAATCTCTAAAAAGTATTTTTTTTTGTGAATATTTTTGGGTTTCTGGAATGGATTAATTGTATTTCCATTATTTCTTATGGGAAATATTGCTTCTCTTTTCAAACTTTTCGAATTTAGAACTAGCTCCTGGAACGGATTTAGTTCGAAATTTGAGGTTCCACTATACCTTCTTTCGCTCGTTTACCCTGTGATTCACCTCGTATATCATAGACCCATATTCCAGTAAATCCTGTTTTGAATGTCAGTGCCTGAATTCACTCACTTTTGCCTTATTTCAACTTGATATCCAATCTTTTATTGCTTACACTAATTATTCATTGACTTGTACATTGTTCAGAAATTATGATAGAAAAATGCACTTGATTTTTCAGCTTAAATTATAAGCACTGAGTGACCCATATGAGCTTAGAACATTTTTGAAGTTTAATAATAAATGATAGTTTAACTGTGTGTATAATTAATGATGATGTGCCCATAGCTGGTGGTGAAGCTGGCAGCCCAAGAAGAAGTGAATGTAGATGATGTGGGTGTTGGTGGTGCCAAGAGATTTTTTGAGGCCAAGGCTCGAATTCTTGAGGTAGGAGATGCTGCCTACAGAGCCTTTGAGGATAAGAAAAAGGAAGAGGAAGAGAGAAAGAAGAGGCAAGAGGAATTCAAGAAGAAGAGGGAGCAGTTCCAGCCAGCAGCATAACTTCCGATAACTGTTGAGATGATAATTTGTGAACCTGCAGTGAAACTCCAAGTTGAGAACAAGATAATGAATAGGAATGTGGTAATAAGAACCAGCATATTACTGTCGGAGGAAATTCCAGTGCAAGACAGAACTGAAAAAGATTCATTTTGAATTTTTCTTGAGTCGGCATAAAAGTATGCTTGTATTCTAGCTATTCATAATTTATAAAGTAGGCCATGTCAGATATACAAATATACTCTTAGTAAGATAGATGTGGCTTACAAAACTGCTTTATTACTTAGTACAATGATTGTAGTATGTTAGAAAGGTACATAATACATTAATATTCAGGCATAATTTGCTCGTAGGTGTGCCTGATGGTGCTAAAACTTGTAACCCATAGTGATACAGTACCTAGAAGATCGAGAAATGTTGAAGTTCACATTTCCTATTTGTTAAACAATTAAAATCTCTAAATTTTTGAATTGTTGAAAAATATCTATTTAAGAATATATATATGCATGTATGTATACATACATACAGTATACATAGATTATTCATACATACATTTACTAACCAAACTTTAAATTTGGCTGTATAAAAACAAACTTAGTGCCAGTGACAATTGCAGTAATTTTTCCGATGTAGAAAAAGTGTCTAGTTTTGCTGTGTTCTAAGTAATTTTTAACACCACTTAATTATTAGACACAAGTATTTGGGCATTTGCCCTTGAATTATTCATCCTGTTATCATTCCATAGTAATTCAAGAATTAGTATTGATCCATCTAATAAATCACATTCTGTCATTAGCTTGCACAAATGCTACAGTGTACTTTAAAAAAACTAATCATTCAGTTACTGTTGCTTGTATAATTTTAGTATTTATGTAATTTACTGGTAACAGTAGTAATATATTTTGTTAACCTGTTGGTATGAAAAATTTTTAGTACAGGATGTCCCATACTTACAAACATCATGACCTACACATATCTGCACTTAGAAACAGGGCACTTAACAGTAAACAGAACACCAAATCTTAAACACCTTTTGCATTATTGTTTTCCATACAAACAATTTGTTTGCATGTTAAAAAGCAGGGAAGGCAGTTCGTTTGTAAGTGGAAAGACCTCTTGTACTCTGCATTTTCTCTTTGTGTGATGATCTACTTGGTGGACCAGTGGAAAGCCTTTCTTCAGTGTAAGGTGTCATTATACAATAAAAAATAATCTAAGTTATACAGTATATGATATCTAGATTTGTACAAAAATAAAAAAAAGAACTTTAAGTGAAGTCCTAATTAATTTTTTAAGTACAGTAATTTAGCTCTTGCCTTTGTGAGTTGTGATAAATAATTCTACTTCACCTAAGATTTTGTTTAATTTTTTAATCCTATGGTGCTAATGGTTTCTAGTTATTATAACAGTGGGGAAACACTAAACCTGCAAGGGAAATCATCAGGATGGTTTCCCCCGAAAAAACTTGACTGTAAGAGAGAATATTTCAGCAGTTACGAATTTCTTGTGGATATAGTAATATGACACTATATTTATGAAAGAACTGAAATTGTATGGATTATATAGTGCCTTGGGAATGGGAGGTGCATACCATATTTTCTGGTATAAAAGGCACGCCTTTTTTTTCCGGCAAAGTCTTGGAAAATCACCCTGTGCCTTACATGCTCAAGGTCAGGGTCGAGGGTAGGCTTTGGGTTACACTTTAGTATAAAGTAAGAGGGTAATTATCCCTTGAATATGATCACTGATTTAGCATTGATACTTCTGCCATGTGTTCTTATATGCCAGAAAATACAGTAAAGTTTGATCAGAAGAGGAAAGTAGCTTCAATTCTTTAGATTAAGAGCCCTTTACAAGAGCATCAAGGTACTCTTTTCCCCCATCCCTTGAAAAGAATGGACATCAAAGCACTGGTGGATTCACTTTATCATTTTTTTTTTTTTTTGTAAATGTAGTAATGATCACAAGCTTAAAATATTTGTTTTATTGTTATTCTGCCAGTACAATAAATAAATACAATAAATACTTAATGACATTTTTTAGTGAGCAATGTGAACACGAGAAATTCACTAATACAGTGGAACCTCAAAAATCGAACTGCTCCCAACACGACTAATTATGTAAGTGTATTTTTGTAAGTGCTTTTATAAGTATTTTTGAGGGTCTGAAATGGACTAATCTAATTTACATTATTCCTGATGGGAATAAATTCATTCGGTAAAGGTACTCGAACAGCCTTCTGGACCGAAGAAAGTTCGATATTTGAGGTTCCACTATACCCCATAAAGGAGATACTCAAACTGATATGGAGGCGATTACCCTCGAGGGAGGTGCCTTGTCAGTGAGGGGCTCTTGATCCAACGACAGATCTTGAATACCTCCTATTCCACAGGCACTATAAGTTTTGTTCGGGTTTTTAACCTGGAGGGTTATCTATCCAGGATACCCCTCAAGGAAGGTTCCGTGATGTTGGTGAGAGGCTCTTGATTTAGGGAATTGGATCTGTGCTCCAGTTCCCCGAATTAAGCCTGAATGCCTTCCACATACCCCCCCCAGGCGCTGTATAATCCTCCGGGTTTAGCACTTCCCCCCTTGATTATAATAATAATAATAATACCCAGGATAACCCAAGACAGTCTGTGCATCATTGAGGACTGTCATATTTCCATTGGGGTCCTTTGGTCTTGTCTCTCAGGATGCAACCTACAACAGTCGACTAACACTTCTGTACCTACTTACTGCTAGGTGAACGGGGACAGCAGGTGTAAGGAAACCTGCCCAATGTTTCTACTTGGTCGGGGATTATACCACAGACACTGTGTGTAAGGCAAGAGCATTGAGTTTGACTCCCCTGATTAATATAAGAGAAGTAATTACCAGCTGTCTGTTTTGCAAGAGAGGTAATGATGCTGCTGAAGGTCCATTAATCCAAGGATCTGGAGCTTCCTTCTTGTTTGCATCTAACCTGATTGTCTCTGGGTCTTCAGGTGCTGTGTGACTTGTGCTTTGAGCACTTCTCCATGATTATAATAAAAATGTGAGGTTTCATGGACTCCCAGTGACCCCTCAAGGGTGATTGCTGGTAAAGGGCTTTTAATCCAAGAAAGTGGACTTACTTTGCCCTTGGATTGAATATAAATGCCTTCCATTCCCTCAGGCACTATGTGACCCCTATGGGCTTAGTGCTTCCCAATAAATAAAATAATCCTAGTGACCTTTATATTGCTTGAAACCTAGAGGGTGTACTGGGAGTCATTGCCCCATGACCAGGCCTCACAGAAGAACAAAGCTTGATAAGCTAGGCTGTTACTGCTGGCCACACGCAAACCAATGTATGAATTACAGCCCGGTTAGGCAGGTAGTGACTTCATGTGCCTGTCCAGCTCCCTCTTGAAGACAGCCAAACCCTTGTTCTTTAGTGCTTCTTTTTGATTATAATTGAAGACAGCCTGGGGACTATTGGTAATCCCCCTTATGTATGCTGGGAGGCAGTTGAACAGTCTTGGGGCCCCTGACACTGTGTTGTCTCTTAGTAATCAACTTGATGAAGCTGCACAATATTGGTGTGATCAGGAGTAAACTTGTTAATGGTTCATTACCTTTGTAACTTATTCAGCTATCAAAACTTTGCTGTCAAGTCCCTGACCTCCATTATGTACCTCTGTAATCTCTTTGACTACCACCCACAGGATAGGTATGGGGTGATTAATAAAGATATAAAACTAACTATTGGTGTGGGTCATGGCTCTCAGATGTAAATCTAGGTATTGTAGTTTTACACCCAACAGGATTTTATTGGGGTTATTAACTTGGACTTGTTGGTTTAGCACTTTCTTTGATTATAATAATAATAATATTAACTTGGAGGATTAGTAACTCAGGTTAACCTAAAATAGCCACGATGTCTTCGAGGACTGTCTTGTTTCAATTGGAGTCCTATATTTCTCTTCCCCAGGTTTAGGTTAGGTAAGGTTTGTCAGGAAACTGTACAATGTTTCCTGATGCAGGTTTTAGTCATATGATAACTTGCAGCTGGAACTTTTGGTCATCTGACCGAGGCCTTCTGCTGGCTTTCCGGCCCACCCCTTTAAAAAATATGGTTATAATTACAACCATTGGATTCTCCCCAGGATGCTACACAATCCTTATGGGTTTAGCACTTAATTTTATAATAATTATAATTTTCCCCAGGATGCCCCTTACACCAGTAACCTAACATCCAAGTACCTACTTATAGCTAGTGAACAGGGCCCCTCAAGGAAGGTTCCTTGATGTTGGTGAGGGGCTCTTGATTTAGGGAATTGGATCTGTGCTCCAGTTCCCCGAATTAAGCCTGAATGCCTTCCACATCCCCCCCCCCCAGGCGCTGTATAATCTTCCGGGTTTAGCGCTTCCCCCTTGATTATAATAATAATAATAGTGAACAGGGGCACCAGGTGTCAGGGAACTTGTTCAGGGCTAACACTCAGTCCCTGGTCCCTCAGATTTCAAGCTGAGGTGGCTACCACCTGAGCCACGGGACACCTGCACCTTCATGCTGGTAAGGACAGTCTTGATCCAAGGAACTGGAGCTGCCCTTCCCTTGGATCAAACCTGATAACCTAACATTATCCTAGCTGTTGTGTAGCACATTCCCTTAAAAATGCCACTGAAGGGCTTGTGAGTCAAGGAATTTGACCTGACCTCTCATTCCTTGGATCAAACCCGGTTGACTCCTATGGGTTTAGCGCTCCTCGTGAAATTTGCTAAAAAAAATTCATAAGCTCTCCCCATATTTTTTTCATCACAAGCGTCCATCAAGAGGAGTGGCTTGATGCTGTTAAAGGGCTCTTGATCCGAAGAATTGGAGCCACTCTTCCCTTCCTCGGATCGAACCTGATGGCCTTGTCCCAGGAACTGTATGCCCCCCTTTCGGGTTTAGCGCTTCCCTCTGCATATAATTATCTCCCCCTGGATGTCCCTCGTGGAGGCTCCTTGATGGCGAGGGGCTCTTGATCCAAGGAATTTGATGGGATCTGCTCTTCCTTGGATCAAACCTAATTACCACGCACTCCCCAGGTGCTGCATGACCCCTTGGGGTTTAGCGCTCTCCATGTATATAAAAATTCTATTGACTTATTATTGGACATTTTTAAGAATAAATTATGGCCAAATTCGCATAAGTACCGAATCCTAATAATATAATAGTAATAATATAATAAATTATTTTTTGACAACCAATCAAATTAAATTGTCTTGAATTTAATCAATCACATTGCAAGATACAAGTCGCATTGCCATCGCTGCCCTAGCCAGTCATATTAAGCCTTACAAGTCGTGATGCTCTTATTTCAGCTAATCGGATTGCATGTTATATCTGTATCACTTCCAAGTTGACCAATAGGAAGCTGTGTTTCTGAGTACAACCCTCTTGTGGGACGCCTTGCGCGGGAGAAACTTGAGGCAGCGGACGCTGGCGAAATGGTGAGGATATTTTACCGTATTTTCTTGATTTTTATCATGTAGTCTGTACATCTAATGCTTATATTAACTAGTGCAAACTCTGGTATTAAATTATCAAGTGTTGTCATGATATAAACGTGAAGGAGGACCCAATTTCGTCTTTCCCCACCTCTAGCCATTTTTTTTTTTGGAGTTGAAACTTGGCATTTGCAAAGAAAATGTTCAGTCGGCACTGTGACTTGTGTCCATTTTTGGTTGTCGAAACTTAATTTGCATAGCATATATCCAGTCGGCGCTGTATGACTCATGGGTTTAGCGCATTTTTAAACAATTTTGTGTAAGAAAATACGAGCAGCAGCCTACATATGTAACAACGGTGTTTTGCTGCTAGATTTGACCCTCTAATTAGCCTGGAGTTTACTTAGAGAGGTTTCGGGGGTCAATGCCCCCGCGGCCCGGTCTGAGACCAGGCCTCATGGTGGATCAGTCTGATAACCAGGCTGTTACTGCTGGCCGCACGCAAGCTGACGTACGAACCACAGCCTGGTTGGTCAGGTACAGACTAGGTTATGCAAATTTAGGGTAATTTAGTAATCTAAAAATTATGCTTTGTTCCCGATTTAGATAATTGCATTATCTGGCGGGTACAGGTTCCTTGATGGTGAGGGGCTCTTGATTCAAGGAATTGGACCCCAGTGGAAATAAATCAGACTTTTTTGGGTTCTACTGGGTAATTTACACATTATTTATGATTTATGTAACTGTGTGTACCTGTGCCTAAATAAATTTCGACTAGATTGCCTTCCATTACCCTAGATGATGTATGGCCCCTTAGGAATTAGCGCTCCCTCATGAATGTAGTATATTGGTAGGTGAAAATAAACATCAGCCAAGTAATACGGAGAATGCCA